TTTTATAAATTAGGGAATATTGTTGAGAGTTTACGCATCCTGTAACTTTAAACAATATTTCCTAATTTATTATTTATTAAAACAATATTATCGTTCAAATGCAGCAGGTTCAAACCCACATCGGCGCTCCCTTCTGCCCGGGGCCCCTGATTTTTCGCTGACTATGACCGCTGGTATGTTCAATATTATGCAAAGAAAACAGTTGTTAACATATATGTTTGTACTACTATCACTCACCTACAATAAAGTATTTCTGTATTAAAATTAATAGTTAATAAATTTTGAAATAATAATAGACAAACTGTAGTTTTTTTTTTCTAAATTTACATCTAACAAAGTCTTTGAGTATATCGTCAAAGTTAATCGATAAGTTAAAATGGGATCTGAAATTGAAAAAAGTATACGAAAAGATGTAAATAAAAATGATTAAATGATATAAAACGAAAATGTAATTTACATAAAAATTAAAAAATTATGCAAAATAAGGCTAAAAAACAACAAACTTAAGCTGTAAGCCCATATAAATAATTCCTTAATATCAGAATCAATAAAAATGATAAAACAGCTTTAATAATAGTTTCACGTTGTTAATAAAAAAATAACCACAAGTGAAGTTGTTAAAGCGCAAAAAAAAAAAAAACAAGTCGTCAAAGCGCGATTAAAGTAATTAGTTTAAAAAAAAGCTAAATGGAAAAAACCGGCTCATTCATAGCTTGATTTTTAAGCATTCAAGATAGTACCAAACTTGAATGTGAATTTTTATTATAATGTATTTCTTCATTTTCATAGCACTTGTTCAGTTTTTAGTTGTTTTGTTCAATTTTCAGTTGACTTAAATTTGTTAAATAAAAAAATTTCTTGAGGACTTGTGGTGCCCAAGGCAAATGCCTTGTTTGCCTAATGGTTAATCCAGGCCTGCCCCCGATCCCCTGCTAGGTTCGGGCCTTCTTCTATCTCATGGGCCCCCCAAAAAGGTACCTAAAAAAAAAGTTCTTGATATGTAATATAGGAGAATTTTTGAATATAAGGCGGCCCTGCATTTATGCTTCCGCCTCGCGGGCCCCTAAATGCTAGTCCAACCCTGAAATGCAGTTCACAGATCCTCACGAACAGAAGTCGTACACAGGTGTTTCAAAATTTTCAAGTTCACGCAGTTATTTTTATGAAAAAAAAATGTTTGAGAGTGTTTTAAATGAAAAGCTATCTTCACAACTCATACTTTTTCACAACTATACATATTTTCAATGAGAATCACCAAGTACTTGTAGCAAAAGTAATATATATATATATATATATATATATATATATATATATATATATATATATATATATATATATATATATATATATATATATATGTATATATATATATATATATATATATATATATATATATATATATATATATATATATATATATATATATATATATATATATATATATATATATATATATATATATATATATATATATATATATATATATATATATATAGGGAGTTTTTCCTGATAGGTTAAAAATAGCTAAGCTAATCCCAATATACAAATAAAGAGACAGAACTAATTTATGTAACTACCCAGCTAGCACACATACGTTGTTAAAACATTAGAACAATGTTTTAACAAACGTTTTAAAAACTAATGTTTTTAAAACGTTTATTTAAAGTCGGAAAAAGGAAATATTTTCTACGTTGATTCAACGTTTTATTTTATACGTTGGCCCAACATTGTATTTTAAGTTGGCACAACCTTGTATTTACGTTGATTCAACGTTGAACTTCAATTAGCAAAACATTGTATACAATATTATTCGGAATTAAATTTTCATTAAATTCTATTATTTTGCATATATATACAATATGTATTTATAAAGATATAATATATATTTATATATACATAAATACATATATTACCATATACAGCTAGTATGTATACTAATAAGTTCGAATATACTTGATCATCCGAACAAAAATCATGTTTGTGTTGGTTATGGTTTGATATTTTAATAATCACCGATCTGCCCATCATCGCGATGACTTCGCAGAGCAATATTCTGTCGACCAAGAAATATTATAGATTCAATTATAGTCTTTAATCGTTCTCTATTTTCTTTAGCCTGTTTAAGTCTTCTTTCGTTAACTAAATTACGTACATCTGTAGACGTAAATCTGTAGACGGACGTTCTGATGAAATCTGGTGCTGCCAACATAGCAACTTTGTGGTACGCATTGCAATCATGTAATTGTAAGTCTCCATCCTTACCCCAAAGCTTTGAATAACTTTTAAGAGTTAAAGTAACTAGCTTGAGTAATTGCACTTGACCGTGTATTCCCCCTACTTTTGCAAAAAGAAAGCAATACTTACAAAAATTCCA